AAGGTACGTGTTCGACCTCTATCATCCGGCCATTCGGCTGTAGGTACTTAGCCAAATTTGGCATCCAGCATCCGGCCATCTGGCCTCAAGTCCCGGCCGTCCGGCCTCAACAAGCTCTCGGCCATTTGGCCTCAACTGTCGGTTATCAAGCCTCAAGTCTCGACCGTCCGGCCTCAACCTTAGCTAGATTTGGCATTCAACTCTCGGTCGTCCGACATCAACCGACCGGCCTACTGGCCTCCAAGGCCTCAACAAAAGTCCAAGTTGATGAACGGAGAGTTCCACCGAGAGCCTCCGTCAACTTGGTCGGACGGTAAACAAAGAGTTCCACCGAGAACCACTACCGTCCGCGCCAAAAGTCCAAGTTGATGAACGGAGAGTTCCACCAAGAGCCTCCGTCAACTCTGCCGGACGGTAAACAAAGAGTTCCACCAAGAATCACTGCCGTCCGCGCCAAAAGTCCAAGTTGATGAACGGAGAGTTCCACCGAGAGCCTCCGTCAACTTGGCCGGATGGTAAACAAAGAGTTCCACCGAGAACCACTGCCGTCCGCGCCAAAAGTCCAAGTTGATGAACGGAGAGTTCCACCGAGAACCTGTCAACTTGGCCGGACGGTAAACAAAGAATTCCACCGAGAACCACTGTCAACTTGGCCGGACGGCATGACAACAAGTCTAAGTACATGCGGGAAAAGTGTCAACCCAACCGGGTCATCCCAAAGGTGCACAACCGATCGGCCTCCTGGCCTCAATCTCTTGGCCTCCGCGGCCTCTACCGCCCGGCCTCCCGGGGCCCTAACCGTTCGGTTCCAACATGGCCTACTAAGGCCTTAGCTGTTCAGTATCAGCAGAGCCTCTGCAGGCCTCAACCGTTCGTTATCCAAGGTACTAAACCGCCCAGCCCTGAACGGTCCTATAGAGGCTCCTAACAGAGAACCCGTGTTTCCAGGTAGGCCATGGACAAAACCCCTTCGCATAATAAAATTATGCTCGGGCTTAGGGGGCCTATGTATCGACCGGTCCTCCTGACACAAAGACCGAACGTCCATCCAGGTCGGCCATCAGACCGAGCGTCCAAATTAACGCTGTCCGACTACACAAGGACCAAGCGATCCTCCAAGGTCGACCATTCATAAACCGGACGTCCACCAGATCGGCCACGTCCAAGGGCCTTAACCTCAGTCTAAATTCTCAGCCTCGAATAGCCTCAACAAGCATGACTGTTTGTCTTCCGCCCACCCACCAACGAGCAGAAAGGACTTAGAAAAGAGAGCAAACCAGGGATCTCGTCCCTGTTCGTGAAAGCCATCAACAAAACCCCTTCGCATAATAAAATTATGCTCGGGCTTAGGGGGCTTATGTACTGACCGGTCCTCCTGACACATAGACCGAGCGAGCGGGTAAACCAATGCCGCCCACCCAGGTCACAATCATGACCGAGCGTCCAAACTAACGTTGTCCGAGCCGACATAGACCGAACAGTCCTCCAAGGTCGTCCATCCAGGTCGACCATCAAGAACGAGCGGCCCACCAAGGTCGTCCATCCAGGCCGACCGACCGAGTGTCCATCGTGACCGATCACCCTGCTGACCGGCCGTCACGACCGTCTCTCCTAGGTTGACATCATTGGCTGGTTACCCTACTGGCCGGCCGTTTCGACCGTCCCTCCCAGGTTGACATCATTGGCCGGTTACCCTGCTGGCCGGCCTTTTTGACCTTCCCTCCCAGGTTGGCATCCTCGGCCGGTCGCCCTGCTGACCGGTCGTCACCACCGTCATTCACTATGTCGACTACGCGATTAAATACTAATGACTCGTTAAAGCCCTTAATGAAGATTAAGGTATGATTGAGCCGTTTTCAGGCCCACGAAAGGTAAAAACCCATTACAATCAGTATAAATAAAGGTTCCAGGTATGAGTTCTGGACGAATTCCTTACGATGCAATATATACATGCATCACAGACCGCTCTATCATATTACTGACTTGAGCGTCGGAGTGCCTTTGACAGGTACCCGACCGCCCGGCTTGGAGTATGAGGACGACCACCGGGAGTGCATAAGGAGAAACCCGCCCGGTCTACAACCTGGAGCGGGGAGCAGCGTCAATCTGTAACTGTACCGTCTGCCACACGCATGGCCTGTCCTTCTTCAGTTCGTGGGATTCAGCAGCGACCGTCCAGTTTTCGTCAGCTTCTAGAGCCCCCGGCGCCAGAGCCGCTCGATCTGCTTCAGCTGATGAGAAAGCGTCCGCCCGGTCCATAGCAGCTTCATCGTTCGTCTGCAAGCCTTTACCGTTCGTGATCGTCCGCCCGGACTTCGACAAACTTGTGTGTTTTAACAGGGTCCCCCCGGATCCGGTCGAAACATTTAATAAAAATATTTGTCTAACATTTATACACAAATTAAAATTCGTTTTATTTTGGAAAGGGTTGAAATTATTTAATTTTAAAAAAATTAGGAGTAAATTAAGAAAAAACGAAAATATAAAGACCAAATTGAGACTAGTGCAATGATACATAACATGATAGTGACACGTGACATTGTTACTGTCACATCACATTGTCATTGCCATGTGGCACAATGTTTGTTTGCCATGTGACAAATTTTTATTTTTTTGAAAAATACATAAAAAATAAAATAAAATAAAAGTATTTGCAAAAATATTAAAAAAAAAAAATCATGAATTGACATGTGGTACCCTCTTTAACGTGTTAGTAATGCACTAACGAAAAAAACATGATTGCTTCAATTTTTTAAAATGACGGAATGAATTGAGACAAAAAAATTTAAAGAACTCACGCAACTTCGAACAAAAACAAGAATAGTTGAAATAATTAAACGTATTAAAAATAATAAAATATATTTTTTTATGATTAAATAATAATCATAATAAATAAAATAAATAATAACATAAATAATAATAACAATAATATCAATTTAGAATAATTTCTCATAATCTTTTCCTTGTCTAAAAGCTTTACTTTCACTTCTCTTTCTCCTAAAATTCACTATTCCAAAAAAAACAATATATATGAGAAAAATTACTCTTAAATTTTAAAACAATATTTTTCATTTTTTTATTGATATAATAATTCAATTAAGGGTAAATAAATAATTCAAACTTTGAGACTCCTTCCAAAATAATCCAAATCCATATTGTTTTAAATCAATTTAAATTGATTTATCCCAAATTTAAATTCATATTTTTTAATTTTAAATCCAACCGCATTTAATTGGATTGGATTTTTAATCCAAATCTCAATCCTTTAATTGGATTTGGATTAGATTTAGATTGGATCATTGTTACAAAATTGACAAGTATATACTAACGCGTACAGATAATAAAGTGAATAAGTTGAGATATCATTTTTCAAGTTGGCCCCAACCAAAAGTTAATTGAATTGCCCCGTGCGAAGGTTAATTGAGTCAATCCTGGGTGAAGGTGGGTTGACTGGGCCCTGATCAAATGTTAGTTGAGTCAGTCTGAACCGAAAGTCAAACTGAATCGATCAAGATCTAAGGTCGAATCGAATCGGCCTTGGTAAAAAATTCAGACTAAATTAGCCTAAGACGAAGGGTCGAGCTGAATCGCCCCAACCCATATCTAATAAACTTAATATATTAGATCAATCTCATTCAATTTGATCTAATTGAGAAAGTAGATTAAATCTAGTTTTAATCCAATTAAATTGAATTGAAAAAAAAAAATTCAAATTTAGTTAATGTAATTGAAATGGATCTAGATTTTATTTCAGATTCATTTTAACTAAATTAACTAAATTTAGATTATAACTCTAGTCATTTTTTTATTGAATCTAGATTGGATATTGAAAAATCCAATCCATGATCATCCTTAAATTCAATAAGTAACTTATCTTTAAGAATTTGAATAATACAAAATGGAAAAAATAACGACAAGTAATTGGTAAAAGACATATTTCAATAGTAACCTAAAAAATTTCTCAATTTTCATCATTCATTTTCCTTTGCTTTATTCCTTTTGTGTCACTAACGTTAAGATGATGTCTATTCAACATGTTGCAACTTAATCACTCTATGATCTAATTTTAATACCTTTCGACTTAATTAGGTTCATCTGAGACGAAATCTTTTGAAACAATAAAAGACCATATTTATGAAATATCCATTACATGGTTGGAGGCAATATGGCATATAAAACTACAGTCAGTCTTTATCAAGTGGCTTTAGGTATCCGATGTTTGTAATAAAATAGATATTTATGTAAAGGGCCAAGTTTTGTAATTAGCCTGTTAAATGGATTTCCTGACAAAGAATTCTGTTATGGCTTCACCTGAAAGACTATCCGAAATTGATATTTAGAACCCAGATATTTTGAATTATATGATTAACTAATGCTTTGAGTTTGTGCTTGAATGTTGTTGTCATGCTTGCAAAATTTAACTGTAATCTCTTTTATGCTTCTAGGTATGCATGTGGTGGATATCTATTACTGGCTTATACCTCAACACTTCACCATATAAAGGTATTTATTTCATTTCAAATACTAGTATTATATAATTATATAACAATCATGAGTTGGACCCTGAGTATGCAATTACTGAGATATCATTCTTTAGAGCTGAGACATTATTTTATTACATAGTGGTACGTTATTACCACCAACGATTTCTTCTAGGTCCCAGAAAATTCTTAATTTGTTATGAATATTGGGAAAGCGTTTTGAAGTGTCAAACATGTTTCTGCAAAAAAAGCATCTCAAACCATGCCACACTTTCGATAAGTCTAATTCTTTTGCTTGACGAAATTGTTCAATGACCCCAGTTGAGTTGGAGCAGTTAAAGAGTGTTACATCCACACCAGAAACCAGAGGATGATCAAAAGTCAAATTTTTAGTGCAGGTCGCTCCAACCACTAAAAATAAAGATACTTTTTCTTATTTTCTAATGTGGATGAAGACTCTCGCGTTCATATGTGGAGTTGAAGTCACAATCTTCTTTCAAAATTTACGCTTTAGCAAGCTCTAGTCCAATATAAGTTGAATAAGTAGTTGCATATACAATACGTAAGTTATAGAATAAATTATATGGATTTCTATGAGGTGATAGTGTGGTGCTCTCTCTTACTTTCTTCCTTCATACCCAACATCACTGCACTGAGCAGTATCACTCCAAATAAGCCCTTGCATAGTAATGAAACCCTGGTTTCAGCATCTGGAACCTTTGAAGCAGGATTCTTTAGCATTGGAAGTTCTCAGAGATATTACTTTTGCATATGTTACAAGAATATATCACCTAGAACATTTGTATGGGTGGCCAACAGAAACACCCCATTGGATAACTCCACTGGGGTTTTGAAAGTCAGTGATTGGGGGAATCTTGCTGTACTTGATGGCACTGGTGCAAATGTTTGGTCATCCAATGCATCAACCACTGTTCAGAAGCCAACTGTGGAGCTCTTGGACTCTGGCAACCTTGTTGTGAAAGATGGTGGTAGTAATGCCCCAGAAAAGATTTTGTGGCAAAGCTTTGATTATCCTGGTGACACTTTACTTCCTGGAATGAAACTCAGAAGCAGTTTTGTGACAGGTGCACTTAGTTCTCTGACATCATGGAGGAACACGGAAGATCCTGCTGTGGGGGAATTTTCATTGTATATTGATCCTCATGGTTTTCCTCAGAGAGTGACTACAAAGGGAGGGACTTGGTTGTACAGAGCAGGTTCGTGGAATGGTTATCAATTCTCAGGAGTTCCTTGGAAACTGTTGCCCAATTTCTTCAATTACTATTTTGTGTTAACCAAGGAGGAAGTGTATTATGAGTATGAACTCTTGGAACGTTCTGTTGTTACAAGGTTTGTGATCAACCAAGCAGGTAGCGATCAACGTTTCACATGGTCAGAGAGAACAAAGAGTTGGGAGCTTTTTGCCTCTGGCCCCAGGGAACAGTGTGAAAACTATGGCTTGTGTGGTGTAAATTCTGTTTGCAATGTAAATAGCTACCCCATATGTGAATGCTTGGATGGTTTTATCCCTAAGTTCACAGAAAAGTGGAGATCATTGGATTGGTCTGGTGGGTGTGTTCGGAGAATGAGTCTGAGTTGTGACAATGAAGATTGTTTTGTTAAGTACGAGGGAATGAGATTGCCAGACACATCTTCCTCCTGGTATGACGCAAGAATGAGTCTTGATGAATGTGAGAGGGTGTGCTTGCAAAACTGCTCTTGCACAGCATACACAAACTTAGATGTCAGAGGTGGTGGGAGTGGCTGCCTTCTTTGGTTTGGTAACATTGTGGATATGGGAAAACATCTCTCCCAAGGACAAGAGATTTACATACGAATGGCTGCTTCAGATATAGGTACTAGTAAGTTTTCAATTGAAACAGAAAAATAATGCATGACACTCAGGTTTGTGCGACCATTGCATTTAATGTTCTTACCTTTACTGCTTAATGTGTTTTCTAATATTCCTTTTGTTCTAACAGAGAACACTTGGCATAAAAGGCACATTAACAAGAAGCTTGTGGTGGTTTTGGCAGTACTCGTTGCGTTCATTATAGTCATAACATTAGGATCAGTTCTATACATACGGAGAAAACTTGAGAAACAAGGTAAACTTTTAGATTAGGTGAGTTTTTATGTAATGTTCACTACACGAATTGGCAACCACCAAAGTAAAACAGGGCTAACCTACAGTTTGGTCCTTCATCTCATTTATTTAGTTTCAAGGTCTTTAAGTTTAAAAAGTGCCACTTTAGTCTTTGAAGTGTTTTTGTCAAACTAAATTTGTTTTTCCCTTTGTCTTATTGCACTAAATTTCTTGATGTGTCATCTTTCACACTTTGCCATACTATCAAGTTGACCATGTTAGTATGGTGAACTGATATAAAAACCAATTTGGACTAACACATTTTAAGAGACCAAAATGCAAAAAAGTAAAAACTAAAATAAGAGACCAAAGTATATTTCAACCATAAAACAATAATAGGCTGTCATTTGCTTACAATTTGCTGCTGCCATATCAGGAAAGACAAATACAGTGGACCAGATGCCTCACACTATAAAACATGGGAAGAAAGACATTGACTTACCAACCCTTGATTTATCAACCATTGATAATGCCACTCGTAATTTCTCTGTCAATAACATATTGGGAGAAGGTGGATTTGGACCAGTTTACAAGGTAACATCAGTATATCCCACCAATGTTACACTTAATATATTTTGAATATTTGTCCACATTTAATTATCAGGGTGTTCTGGCAAATGGACAAGAAATAGCTGTTAAGAGACTTTCCAAAAATTCTGGACAAGGATTAGATGAATTCAGAAATGAAGTGGTGTTGATTGCCAATCTTCAGCACCGGAATCTTGTAAAGATTCTAGGATGTTGTGTTCAAGAGGAGGAGAGAATCTTAATCTATGAATTCATGCCTAACAGGAGCTTGGATCTTTACATTTTTGGTTTGAGGCTTTTACTCAGATTTTTTTGTACTCTCATTTCTGCCAAAATCATTTTAACTTAAATTAGGCAACGACATGCAGATAACACAAGAAAGAAATTATTGGATTGGAGCAAACGCTTCCAAATTATAAGTGGCATAGCTAAAGGTCTTCTATATCTTCATCATGATTCTAGACTAAGGATCATTCACAGAGATATCAAAGCAAGCAATATTCTTCTTGATAATAATATGAATCCAAAGATATCAGACTTTGGACTAGCAAGAATGCTTGTTGGTGATCACACTAAAGCCAATACAAAAAGGGTTGTAGGAACTCAGTAAGCTTGTTTATGCTTTGATAGTTGAACTAGATACCATGAATGTTGTATACTTTTTCTTTTATCTGAATCTGTTCTACTTTGTCTTGCAGTGGTTACATGCCTCCTGAATATGCAGTGTATGGATATTTTTCAGTGAAATCAGATGTCTTCAGCTTTGGTGTTATTGTGCTAGAGATTGTTAGTGGGAGGAAGAACACAAAATTTCTTGATCCACTGAACCAACTTAACCTTATAGGGCATGTAAGCATAAATTTTTTACTATTCTAACAAGAGTTTAATTTCTATATACTTAACCTCAAAGGTTGTATTTAATTTTTGTTCAGGCTTGGAGATTGTGGAGTGAAGGGAGGCCTTTGGAGCTGGTTGATGAATCACTAGGTGATTCAGTCATTGAAAGTGAAGTGTTGAAAATTGTTCATGTGGGGCTCTTGTGCGTGCAAGAAAGACCAGAGGATAGGCCCAACATGTCAAGTGTGGTTCTGATGCTGAATGGTGAGAGCCCATTGCCCAAGCCCAAGCAGCCTGCATTTTATCCACACCATGAAGATTTTTCTTCATCCACCAAGTGTGAATTCAGCTCAAATGATATGTCCATCAGTTTAGAGGCAAGATAGTAAACCTAAATTAATTTAACTGATCACCATGTGTTGACTGTTTGTACAGTTTTCAGTATTATTAATGTCTTAAGTTTTGAATGTGATTGCATAGACTATTGTTCTTTATTGGTAATATTTATATAAGTGCACTAGGAAGAGATAGATTTTAAAAAGGCTTAATTATTCACATGTTTCCACTTTGATGAAAATTGTCAAATTGCTCTCCTTTTTTAAAAAGTTTTAGTGTTTGATTTCAATTTGGTTATTATATGTTTCTTTAATTTAATTTAATCTCAATTTTTTTCAAAATGGAGCAATACTATTCATCTTCACAAAATTTATTATAAGTATAAATGTTATATTGATATTTTATTAAAAATGTTTTTTTAACATATTACATTATTGAATATTATTAACCCATGTTTTATTAATAATGATTTTAACTACTAAATTTTAATATAAATTTTAGTATAACATTTATACAAATAATAAATTTGGTCAATAACACCACATTTATTATTGATATAAAAATGATATTAATTAATTTATTCTTATAAAAAAACATGAATTAATAATATATTAATTTTAAATTCTTATTTTTTTTGTAAAAATATTTATATTTAATTAGATTTAATCTTATAAAAGAAACATAAGTTAACAAAAATTGAATTAATAATATATAATAGTGTAATATGTTTAAATAGTATTTTTAATAAAAATATCAGTATAATATTTATACAAATAATAAATTTTATCTAGAGAGACAATATTATTCTATTTTAAAAAAATTGGAATTAAATTTAATAAATATATATATATATATATATATAACTAAATTAAAATAAAAATAATAACATTTGACAAAAAAAAACATATATTAACATGTGGCATAATTCCATTAGTAATTTTTTTTTTAAATAAATTAATAAAATGTTAATGTATAATTGATTTTTTTTAAAAGCTGAGACTAACTTAAGACACTCTCACAAAAGTAAAAATCATTTGACTTAATAAACTTTTTAAAAACTATTGACATTTATATTCTATAAAATATTATTGAAAGAATTAACTCAAACATTTATTGCAGAGCTTTTATCACACAAACAGAATCGACAACAAACTTAAGTATTAGAGAGGAGAAGATAAATAAAGGAACAAAAAAATATGTATGTAGGGAAGAATTCACTGTATCATAAATATTACAACTCAGTATATTTTCTCTTCAGCAAACTCTCGTTAGGAAATTTATTCTAACCCCGTTTTCGGGGTGATTTCTAATTTTCTATAATTGAAAAAAACACGAAAACATAATTGTATGAATATCTTTAAGAAACTATACTTGTAGTCTTTACCCAAAAAATATAAACTAATATGTTAAACTCCTAATATGAATTTAATAAAGTATTTTCAAAAATAAAATATGTATTAGAAAATGATTTAAAGTAATATGTATTAAAAAAAATTACGTTTAATTAACATATTAATTACTAAATTATCTTCGATGGAAGCTTTAGCAACAGAATAGCCATCCACTCCAATTTATCTTAACTATTTACACTTTTCTAGTCTAGACATATATTTTCTTTTGTTTTATGTACTTTGACGAAAGTTTAATAACACATAATTTAGTTTTTCTCTTTCACGATGAAAATTTATAAAAATTATTAATTGGGTCTCAAACATTTCCACTTCTTTAATTTTATTTTTAATTTGAAGTTAGAATATAAAATTTGCAGACACTTAACTTTCAAATTAATGAGGGGTTGGTTGGGCGTTGAAAGCTGGTCAATTTCTTCTAATTCAATATTCAATAATGGAGTCCCTTGGGACATCAAATAAATACTCAACGGTTTATTATTTTTTATTCTGTTGACATTCAAAACACATTTAATTTTGGTTCTTTATATTTTTTAAACTTTTTTAATTCTTCAAATTTGATGGACTAAGCTGATCATTTAAATTAATTATAAGTTAAAAATAGAAATTTAAGAAGTTAAAATTCTATTTTGAAAATTTAATTTATTAAAATAAACTTTTTAAATTTCTGAACTAAAATCATTTTCATTTTAAATTTTAAAGATTAAAACAACGTTAAATCAATATACTACATATATAGTATTTATTGAAGACAAAATAATAGTCTTCGAAGTCTCTTTCTTTCCAACATGATTAATAGTAATTGCGAATAAAGTCAATTAATTTTATTTGCAAGTTGCCACTCTAGAAGTTTTAAACTATACTCTACCTCTTACTTATATGAAGTATACGAAATTTGAAGGACATTTCCATAAAAAATATAATGAAATATTTTCTCAATGATTTAGAAAATAAAAGATGTTAGATTTTTAGTTAGCAGAAAAAATATTTTTCTGTTATATAATTTTCTATTTTTTACGTTTCTTTTAAAATATTTAAAAATACAATATTTATAATAGTGATGGTAATAATTTTTGGTGCTACGTAGTTGGATTAAAGTAATAATGAGAATAATGGTGTTATTAGTGATGGTAATAATAATGATGAGATTGAAGAAAATACCTCAAAAGATAATATTTAAAAGAAAAATAAAAGCTGTGAATTTATAGATCTTCAATTTTTATCTTTATTTTCAAATTGGATCTAAACGTGTGTTTCCAAAATTGGGCAAAGATTAATTTCAGCTCAGTCTGTGTCAAAATACAATTTGGTAAGGAAAATTAGATTTCAAAACAAAAACAAAAACTGATTATTAAATCTAATAATTCATCATAATGATTATTTTTAACATAGTTATATCTTCAAAATATACATAATTTTATCCTCGGAAAGCATGAGTTATCTAGTTAGCTTGAATAAGAAAATACGTGTATTCTGTAAAAATAATATTATCCAAGAAATGATACACTTAAGTTTCTTAATAATAAAATAATCTTAATATTTAATTAGTTTGGTTTGACTTTACATAGTTATAATAACTCAATTTTGGCAATATATTATATACCCTGTAATTGCTCATTACGTATATATATATATATAAAAAAAAAAAGTTTACAATATACGGAAGTTGTTGACTTGTGCATGTTAAAATATAGCATTTGAAATAACTTCTAGCTGTCAAACTATCATAAAATAACAAACATTCCTTTAGCTTTAGACAATGCTTGATTTTATAAATATTTTCACAAACATTTTTAAGAAAAATAGAAAAAAAAGCTATTTCAAAAAATAAAATTAATCCTTCAATAAATAAGTCTGTAAAAGATCCTTTTTATTTTTTATTTTCTTCTAAACATATTGTCTTGCTTTTCCAATTCAACAAAAAATTATACCAGAACAATCTTGTAGCAGACAAGCATGCTTAGAAGTATTCGTTGCCCTGAAAAATATGAATTACATTTCGAAGTTAGAAGTTTATTTTCATATTTAGATTATGAAATTGTTTAAGTCACCAAGCTTTAGTTTTCTGCAAAAAAAGTTATTTAATTTATTTAATTATTAATCAACCCAACATTTGGTTTAGACAATGTTAATCAGAACGCGGATAGTAATGATAAATCTCAAGTACAAGGGTGACAGTGCCGTCTGATAATAACTTTATAAAATTATATGTTGTGATTTCAAGGGCGAAGTTGAATATATAAAAAGAAAAATAATATATAATAGAAAAATTCAAAATGTTGGTATATTTTGCAATTAAAGTCCACCTGCCTTTCTCTCAGAAGAACGCTGTGAGATAAGTTGAATAGTCAGTGATACATTAAAATAATAATATAATAAAGTTTTGTATAGACATGGAACGGAGGAAAGAGTATCCAGTTATGTAGCTAATCTTTGAAGATTTTGGAAAGTAGTGGAGAAATTTAGAGTTAACTCTAATCCAAGAAGAAATGAATGGAAAGCTTAAAGGCAATGGTTTTGTGGTCTCTTGTGTTGCATTTCATACCAGGTTTGAGCACCCTTGAAACCATTGGTCCTGGCCAATCAGTGAAGGATAATGAGACTCTAGTTTCAGCAGAAGGGACTTTTGAAGCAGGGTTCTTCAACTTTGGGGATCAAAGTAGTCAATACTTTGGTATATGGTACAAGGATATTTCTCCAAGAACAGTTGTGTGGATAGCCAATAGAGATACTCCAGTTCAAAACTCCTCAGGAGTTTTGAATGTAACTCATGTGGGAAATCTTTTCATTTTGAATGGTTCAGGGGCCACATTCTGGTCTTCCAATACATCAACAGCTGCAAAGAATCCTGTTGTGCAGCTTTTGGAGACTGGAAATCTTGTTGTGAGAGAAGAAAGCAACCCAGAGAATCTTCTATGGCAGAGTTTTGATCTTCCTGGGGACACTTTGTTGCCAGGGATGCGACTTCGAAGTAGCATGGGAAATGGCAGTTTTACATCTCTGACATCTTGGAGAGACACAGAAGATCCTGGTAGAGGTGTGTATTCATATCACATAGATACTCGTGGTTTTCCTCAAGTGGTGATTACGAAGGGAGGGGCATTGTTGTATAGGCCAGGTTCATGGAATGGCAATATTTTATCTGGAATTCCTTCTGCAACATTGTACAAAATCTTTAATTTCTCTTTTGTTATAACTGAGAAGGAAGTCTCTTATGGATATGAACTACTGAACAAGTCAATTGTTTCGAGGTACATGATCACGTTAACAGGTCAAATACAACGTTTTGTTTTGTCTGATTTGACAAATAGTTGGCAGCTTTTCTACTCAGGCCCCGCAGACCAGTGTGATAATTATGCCGTTTGTGGGGTGAATTCTAATTGTGATGTAAATAGCTCTCCAACGTGTGAGTGCCTTCAGGGTTTCATTCCCAGATCCGAAGAAAAATGGAATGCACAAAACTGGTCAGATGGGTGTGTTAGGAGAGTTAATTTAGATTGTGGCAACAGTGATGGCTTTCAGAAGTATCAGGGAACGAAGTTGCCGGACACATCAACCTCATGGTTTGACAGAAGCATGAACCTTGAGGAATGTAAGAATTTCTGTCTGGAAAACTGCTCCTGCACAGCATATGCAAATTTAGATATCAGAAATGGTGGAAGTGGATGCTTGCTTTGGTTTAATAACATTGTGGACGTGAGAAAACTAACCACCGGAGGACAAGATCTTTTCATAAGATTGGCAGCTTCAGATCTAGGTGCTAATACTTTATTTCCATCTAACATATAACAGAACATTCGTTTGTTGCAGAACTTGGTTTAACTGTGCGAAATACATGTCTATAAATTCCTGTTCTTACTATGCTGCACATTATGTTTGTTGCCTGACAGTTCATCCTTATTGCAAGTAGATAACATAACATATAAGAAGTGATGATCATTAGAGGACATTGTATAATACTACTTAGCATAACAAAATTGTGATCAGGAAGCATCTAACTGCCATCAACTTTCATTGTGAATACGTGCTTTAGATGCCTTATGTTTTGGGATTCCTAAATTGCTCAAAATTTGGTGTGTTGGCTAACAGTGCTTTTATTTTCTCAGGTCATGAAAAAGGCTTACGCAAGAAGCAGCTTGCAGGAATTCTTGCAGGTTCTGCAGTGTTTATTGTGGTCATGATATTATTGGCAGTGGCCATACTTCGGAGAAAAAGGCTTGAGAAGCCAGGTACTTATACCATGGTAGAATTAATAGTTATTTTACAATTGAAAATATTTTTTTCTTACAAAATTTTAAGGTTTGGTAACCTTTAGATTTTCCTCTTCCGATAGAACCTATAATGCAAGTAATTTATATACATACATTCTTCTATCTTCACAGGAAACAACAAAAGTGTTAGCTGGAAAAATCACTCTGTTAAGACACAGAAGGAAGACATTGACATTCCAATATTTAAGTTTTCAACCATAGCTAATGCAACTAATGACTTTTGCGTTACTAACATATTGGGAGAAGGTGGATTTGGACCAGTTTACAAGGTAGTTTGATTGAACTTATATCTTACAATTAGATTTATCTTCTGTGCATAACTTTCTTATGAAATGATTGTCAGGGTACTTTGGCAAATGGCCAAGATATAGCTGTGAAGCGGCTTTGCAATAATTCAGGACAAGGACCGAAAGAGTTCATAAACGAAGTTGTGCTAATTGCTAATCTTCAGCACCGGAACCTTGTGAAGCTTCTTGGGTGTTGCATTCAAGATGATGAGAGGATCTTGATATATGAATTCATGACTAACAAAAGCTTGAACTACTTTATTTTTGGTCATAAATTTTATCTTGTCCCAACACTTGGTCTTATCTTGCCATGATCACCAAACCATCTTCATGCTAACTAGTTGAAATTTTTTCAGATGAAGCTAGAAAATGTTTGCTAGATTGGGCTCAGCGCTTCCAAATTATTCGTGGGATTGCCAGAGGGCTTCTCTATCTTCATGAAGATTCTAGATTAAGAATTATCCATAGAGATCTCAAGACCAGCAATATTCTTCTAGATGAAAACATGAATCCAAAAATATCAGACTTTGGTCTCGCTACATCATTTGGAGGAGATGAAGTTGAAGGCCAAACAAAGAGAATAGTGGGAACTTAGTATGCATGCATAAATAACTTGATTTGTTACTTTATCTTCATAAAATTTCCCTCTTCTCCCTTTCTGAGCTCCATTTCATTTTCTGTATTACAGTGGTTATATTTCTCCAGAATATGCAGCCCGTGGGAATTTCTCAGTGAAATCTGATGTCTACAGTTTTGGTGTTATATTACTGGAGATAGTTTGTGGAAAAAAGAATAGGGAATATTCTGACGATCATGATCATGACCTTCTTGGACATGTAAGTCTAGTCCACTCATACCATTTATATTGGCATAGTCTTCAGAGCATGTTTGAAAACCCATCTCCTTCATTTTTATCCACTTCAAAGAGAAGCTATTATCTGTAGCTTCTGCGTTTTTTTCGTTATTGATCATGATTTTGAGCATTGAAAAGCATACAAAACGTAAGTAAGAACACACTGTGAACTCAAAATTGACAATTTTAATTTGATGATCATAGGCATGGAGACTTTGGTGTGAAGAAAAACCAATGGAGTTGATAGATGAATCACTAGGCGAATCAGTAGCTCTAGCTGAAGCTGATGTATTGAGATGTATTCACATTGGGCTTCTATGTGTACAAGACAGAGCAGAGGATAGACCAGAAATGTCATTAATAGTTCTTATGCTGAATGGTGAGAAACCATTGCCCAGGCCAAGGGAACCTGCTTTTTATCCCCATCAATCTGGCTCTTCATCAGGAAATAGTAAACTGCAATCAAACAATGAGATTTCTATTTCATTGTTGGAGGCAAGATAGTTTATTTATATATATGAAGTTATAGAATTCAATGTAAATGAGGCAACATCAGTCAACATAAGATATATGCTACAGTTTCACCAGATGAAATACATATTTCTGTGTCCTGTGCTGTAGGCCACTTAGAGACAGGGAAAAGTTTTTTCACTTGCATGACAATCCGACATGGAATTGCTGGGAACATCAATCCAAAATTTCCAAATCTTGATGCAAGTAATTGAAAAGCTTCCAAGGCTTGGCGAATGCGTCTTCACTCTTGAAGAGGTGTGATAATTTAAGCCACTATCTAAGCAAAGTCATGAACTTTTGCTATGTAAAGGCATCATGTGCGGAGGGAAGACATACATAATCTAGAGAGAGGGGATCATGACGGGGAAAGGGCCAAAAAAATATAACAACTTGGCAAAGAGTAATAATGCAGCGGAAAATCAATCCCCCTTCTTGTGAGCGAGGAGCACCAAACAAATAGAACAAAAATGAAATCCAAAAGCACAGAGACACCAACAAATTTTTAACGTGGAAAACCCCTCAATGCAAAAAACCACGAGTTGTCTCCACTAAAGAAAAATCCACTATGATCAATAATAGGGTACAAAAGAGTCTCCAATCCAATAATAATACCATCTGATGTGTTCAATAAGCCAATTTAAATAAGCACAAAAGCTTACAAATGAGAACAAAGAAGATGAAAATTCTCCAAAACAGGGTTGTTGGTGCGGGACTGATTTCTCCCAATCTAGACCTCCGATTGATGATCCAAACGGTTAGGATGAAGAACCATATGTCTGGAACCTATTGTCCAAAAATCAGCTCGATCAACAACTTCACAGCCACGAAAACACTAGTGCAGATTAAGGGTTATGCGGGAATAGCTTTCTCTCTTCCTTTTTCTCTCACTTGGTTTTTGCCTCTCTTCAAATAACTCTAATGTGCTCTACTAATCTGACTCATCTCTATTTAACCTAGTGAGACCTAATGATCCACATTATTTGAGCCTATTTTCCACATAGTAAGGGAGCCCAATAACCCAATAGATCACACATTTTGGAAACTCTAGGAATTTTCTGAAAGGCAGAGGTTACAGAACTGATTAGACAACAATACCAGTTTCCCATGCTTTGAGAATTCAATTATGTTCAAATTGTCCTTGCTGATGCAGTATGAAAAATTCACATGTACCATGAAGGCATTTAACATGCGATGTAAGACTTTTAGTTAATAAACACGTGTTAATGTTTGGTCTATAGTGAATGACAGACCCTATACATATTCAGTGATTATTTTTAACTTTTTGTCAAGCTCATGGATAAGGTGACTACCAAATTCAGAAAATCAGAGAATAAATTTGCATTTTTATCTGTTTCTTTTCAATATCATGTTTTACTTTTCTTCTTTCGAGTTTAGTGTGTGTTTGGTCTCAGAAACAAATACCTACATATGAAACACAATTCTTTAACTCAGCACACACCTATGATACTTCATTTTGTATCACATATCCGTGTCCGATACTTTAGATACTTTACTTATATTTATAATTTTTTATTTTCTTGATAATGTTTAATACATTTGATTTGTATTCACATAATAATAATAATCATATATTTATCATGTTTTTAAGAATTTTTTTACATTTTTCAACATGTATATTAGATACATGTCCGTATCCAATTGACGTATTGTATCTGTTCATCATAGGTATACGCCCACATTAAACTACTCCAATATTAAGTTTGAAATGCAGCCTATTTGAGTATTATGCATGAACCATGAAAGAAAAGGGCAATATCCTAATGTTTCAAAAAAGTAGATAAACGTTTAATGTAAACACCTATAATTTCTAAATACAGTGCAGGGAGCAACCAATCTCTTAAGGAATAAAAAAAAGGAAAAAATTCTATGAAAGCAACCAGTCTCCTAAAGAATAAAAAGAATCTGATAAGATTCATCCAGTCTCTTATGGAATAAAAAAGGGGCAAGATACGAGGGAGCAAATAAGCTCTTAAAATAGGGAAAATACTAGTTTGCAGATCTGATGAGAGTAATTATCGATGGAGTGAATAAATTCTCAAGTTTCGCTTACTTAGAAGTGATTTACAGTTTTTTGGGTACAAGATGAGATGTTTACCTCATGCATTTTTTATGCTCTAAACCATTTTTGGAAATAGAAATCAAGACAACAAACAACATTATTGCAATTCGCACGAGATGACATAGATGATACATCCGAAGATTTTCCAAAAGCAGTGCAACAACGAAAATACATTAATTTTGTTCTGACAAAGCAAGTAAAAAGAACAAAACATCGTTCAAAGTTGACCATTCACAATCTGGTCATCAACAACTTCTTTTAGGGAAGCTGAAAAGTTTATATCAAGAAACAATACTTTTGCTTGGTCAACAACAACCTCAAATCCATCTTTGAAAGAACATTAAGCCATAGGCGGGAATGTTTTTACATTTCATATTCTAGAACGTTACAAACAATGAAAGGTGATATTAAGGTCACCATGCAACTTAGCAGTTCTTTTTAGAAGCCCAACATTATTTGGGCTTATAATAGGAGATATGACATTTAAGTCGATAATTAAAAATGTCTTGCTAAGGCTAAGGGGTTGTGTGATGATAAGCTCAAAATGGTAGACCCAAAACTAATCAAGATAAGTTGGTCATACATTTTCTTAGTCTTACAAGAGCTAAAGGCCGGAGGCTGTGTCATGATAGGCACAAAGTGATGGACCTAATATCGATTGGATGTTTTATAGGAGGGAAAGGTTTTGATTATCGTTGACCTAGTGGTTACTGAAGGAACTAAAAGGTCAGGTAGTAAAGATGGGACATTAAAGACTGAAAAGAGGAGTAAAGAGAGTGTTAAAGGAGAGAAAACTCAAGAGACAGGTGAATGAAGATAAAGAGGACTTTGGAAGCAAAAGTTGGGAAAATCAAATCTGTAAATGCTCTAGCTGATTGGATTTTTACCTTTTGGCTAGAACAACCTGTCATATATTTTGTTTGTGATAACATCCATACAAATAAGTTTTTTTTATCAAGATTAATTGATAATTTAGAATATATTTATTTGAGTTGTTGGTAACATTAGTTATGTTCAATTTGAAATATTTTGTAATGACTTGTGTCAGATAGAGGAACTATACATATATTAGAAGCAGTTTGCATTAGTCAGTACTCGTCCACAATCACGTATTAAACCAATCCAAAACATGTTTGAAATGCAACTATCTAGCAGACATTATGCTAAGTGACAAGTCATTATTTGTGTATTGTTTATGACTGCTTGATGATGAACTATCACCAGCCATGCTTGTACTTGTAAAGAATCCAGGCAAGTTTGGCTGAGGCAGTGCAGATTCACCGCTTAGCATCATAACCACAGATGACATGTTTGGCCTATCTTCAGGATTTAGTTGCACGCACAGTAGTCCCACATGAATTGTTCTTAGAGCTTCAGACAAATGGACTGACTCAGTTATTGCTGCATCAACTACTTCAGAACATTTGCCTTCAGTAAACAGCCTCCACACCTGCATAAGTTTTCAAACCATTTGGTTATCAGCAGAAACATCTCAAAGGTGGTTAGATTTCAAGTTCATTCTTACATGTGCCAGTAGATTATCTTGATGACAGAATCCTTTATTTCTCTTCCCACTCACTATCTCCAATATCAGCACACCAAAGCTGAAAACATCTGACTTTGTTGAATAAGCTCCATCAATTATGTACTCTGGAGGAAGATAGCCACTACAATCACATGCACCAAAAGTCATTGTAAGACAGTGCCAAGCGATCATACTCATACTACATTGGTGTAATCAGACACTTACTAGGTTCCAACTACATGTTTTGTGGTTGCTTCGATTTCATTTCCTCCAAAGCTTCTAGCCAGTCCAAAGTCCGAGATTTTTGGGTTCATTTCGCTATCTAACAAAACATTCGCCGCTTTGAGGTCTCTATGAACTATTCTATGCCTTGAATCTTGATGAAGATAAAGAAGACCCCGTGCAACCCCGTTGATAATCAGCATGCGCCTTGGCCAATCTAGTAACATGCTCTTGTTTTCATCTGAGAAAAATGTGACCAAGCTTTAGATAGTGGTAGATCAGTTTCAGTAGTTTCTATATAGATAGATTATGGAATGATAAACTTAAGTGCAAAATAAATTAATATCTCTTCCTCATGCCATGATAAATAACTGGATTGGAAAATTTATTTCCTTTCTAGCATGATTTTCTTGTATGTATCTGTTTAATTGCAATAATTTTCAAGCTAAGAGAATCCAATTAAACAAATGAATATATAACCCCAAATGAATGAAACAATAAAAAAAGGTTTCTCTTGAAACAAACCAAATATGAAGGAATCCAAGCTTTTGTTGGGCATAAATTCATATACAAGCAATCTTTCTCCTGCTTGAAGGCAGTACCCTAGTAGCCTCACTAAATTCCTGTGCTGAAGCTTTGCAATATGCATAACTTCATTTTTGAACTCTGGAAGTCCTTGTTTGGAATTCATAGAGAGCCTCTTCACAGCTATTTCTCCTCCATCGGCCAGGATGCCCTGGAATTCGTGACAATGACAGATTAAGCTATGAATAGACTTCATTTTACTAAAACGTGTTACAGAAAAATTTATATAACTTTAATAGTTCAGTTCATGTGTTCCAACATTTAATTTCGCTTTTCTAATATGGAGAATTGATTAAAAAGAAGTTCAATGACGTGATATATGAAATGTGATATATAACAAGCAGCGAATTAATAAAGGAAAAGATGCATAGAATCAGAACTATAGTCATCAGCAGATCAGCTAAGCTCTGCAAGGTCTACTAGTCTGACTACTTTTGTCTTTTGTTTTTTATTTTCATTTTTTAATTTATAAAATATAATACTGCTTTGAATCTGTTATCTGTTTTCAAATATATTGGCATAACAAATAGAAAAAATAAAATCTGTCTGCTGTCAAAATTTAAAATCGTTTCGACTCACAATAAATAAAGCAAAATAAGGAAACATGTTTTATTGTAACAAAAAATGGAAAACAGAAAATACTTTCTTAAAACAAATAGTTCCCAGAGTTCTTCCAGAAAAAGACATTGCTATAAGTCCTGTCTCTTATAATTATCATTTCTAACCATTATTTGACCATATAGTGGTACAACACTGCACAAAATGTAAACAATTATTAAATATCATGCATTCTATGCTCCGTGAAGACATTTTATCAATTAATTACCTTATAAACTGATCCAAAGCCACCTTCTCCCAGTTTGTTGTCAGGTGAAAAGTTGTTGGTTGCAGAAGTAATTGTAGACAACTCAAACATGGGTAACTCTAGATCTTTACTCTCGTGCTCATTTATTACATTCACGTCTGGTTCTAGATTACCTTCCATCTTT